CTCAAGTATATTGTGGACATAAAAAAATGAGAGAATAATAAATGGTTGTCTTGCATTTGTCCAAAAACATCGCCCAATACGTCTTGGGCCGAAAGCATCAGATTGTCGGTCTCCCCGAAGTGCCGCACTTCCGTGGGTCCTTCACTCGTTATGCGCTTGTGTTTTTAGCAGCAGAACACCACTAGTGTGAGAGTTTCTTCCCTCAGTAATATCAGAGGAGAAACAACTGTCTGGTACCACTTCAACTTTAAGACAAACCACTAGAGTCCCAAAAAGATAAACACCATTTGAAGTCACAGACAACAAAAGATGTTTGGGCCTAGAAAAACTGCCATAAACTGGTATTTAGCACAATCTTGTTTACTGTGGCAATGTGGGTTCAGGTATCAGGTGGATGTGGCTCAGGGATGGTAGCCGTCTGGAGGGGTGAGAGTCCCGTGTTTGCTTTTAATAGTGCGTTTTGCAGATTTACTTTTGAAGTACCTGGAAATGTGAACACACAATCGTCTGCACACACAAAACTCACCAGGACTGAAACGAATGAAAGTTGAGAACATGTTCACATAAAAACATTCACACAAACAAGATGAATCAGTTCATTTCCACACATGTGCAAACTGAAATCATAGATCCTGCCCTGGCCCTGGGTGGGCTGAATGGGAGCCTGACACATTGACTAACCCATGATTCATCTCTTTGGACGGCTTTGGATGTAAAGTTTCTAATGGGGGATTCATGCGTAGTGTGTTTAATTGGCTGTTTCATGTTTTGCAAGAATCCCAACATGAGCAATACATTATTCATCCTCTCGTAAATGCACTTGACATATGAAAGCAAAAGTGTAATTATAGAACAAGTGTGACATATTTATTTTATTAGGTCAACTCTTAATGGTGAATCTTTCCTGTCAACAGCTGTTCCATACCCCCCCCCCCCCCCCCCCCAAAAAAAAAGTTTGGATTAAAATAAAACGTGTGGTGGCTCTAAAATAATATACACACAAACTAGGTAAATGCTTATGGAGAGCTAAAAATAACAGGTGCCGGGTTTTGTCCCTTTAGCCTGACATCACTGTGCAGCTGTAATCTCCTTAACTCAGATTAAAGAGTTTTCAGAAATAAAACTGCTGGGATTTCTGATTCTGGAAAAATAGAATTAAAAGGGGGAAAAAAGCTAAATTTAGCTGTCTGTTTATAATATAACTGTGATAAATCTTGTTGGCTTTGGCTTCACCATGTTATTTTATTAGCTATACTCTGTACTACTTTGTTTAGATGCATTTCCACAGAAAGGCTGCATGCATCTCTCCTCCTCCCTTTTCTTGTTTAAATGAATTAATTTGGGTGGTGAGCATCTGTAATCCTTTGCGTCCCTCTGGAGCCTTAATGACACATTAGGCTCTTAAGGCAATGCAATGACTAATGTTGTCATGTCCTCTACTTTGGCAAAGAAAAGCTGGTCTGCGTGTGAACATCAAAGTGTGGGCGATAGTTTGTATGTGTCGCCCATAATGGAAGGTATCTGAATGCCACCTCCATTTCCTCTCTTTCTTGTATGTCAATCAACAACTGGCTAAAAGCCTTCACCCGTACATGTCAGAATTACTCTTGCAAATATATTATGAAGTCCTGTATTGAGTGCAGTAGTATGTTTAGGATTACATGGTGCTTTCTATAAGGGCCTGGATATCATGCATGCCAGTTTTCTTCCTTTCAGTCTGGTGCATTGCTTCACAACGGATGACTGCATCATGCAAATGCTATTAGAAAAAGGAGTGACTAACTTTAGCTTAGGTTAGGAGACAAATGACTCATTCTTGCTGTAATGGCAACATTGATGTGAACAAAATGCTACACGAGCCTTGGCCAAGAGCAATCTGGCAATACGTTAGGAAAAGAAGCAAATCCCATATGTATAGTTGTATTGTATCTTTTGAAAGATCATTCTGTTTTTATGTTGGGTACCTTTTATCATTCAGATAGATGGATAGATGGATAGATAGATAGATAGATAGATAGATAGATAGATAGATAGATAGATAGATAGATAGATAGATAGATAGATAGATAGATAGATAGATAGATAGATAGATGATAGATGGATGGATAGATGGATAGATGGATAGATAGATAGATAGATAGATAGATAGATAGATAGATAGATAGATAGATGGATAACCATTTGAGATTGTTTCTTCTTATTGTTGGTGTTATTGTTGTTTTCAGACGGCCATCGGCAACTTCTGAACAGTTGCTTTTTTACCTCACTAAGGACTCTTGAGTGACAGGGGGAAATTTGAGTGCTTCATACAACAGCAGGCATTGATTGGCCTAGCAAATTGAACCCTCTTCCACCACCTGCACTAGTAAAATTGAATTAGTGTTGTGAAAAAAGAAGCTACGTTACTGTTTTTGACATTGATATGAGATTTATTGAACATATGCATCACAATGTACACTGACCTTTCTCAGTTGAATAGAAATGTTATAAGCATGTCCCCATTGTATTTGTTGGATGTCAAATACGTGAATGACATGGCAATGTCATCGGCGGACACTTTTTGAACCTCTTCTTCTCCTTCAAGATGCTGAGTCGATCTGGTAGCTCGAGCAGATCCGGTACCTAAACTTGCCCCGTAATTGGAGGGTTGCAGGTTCATGAGCCATCTGTTGTAGTCGTTGTGTCCTTGGGCAAGACACTCACCCTCCTAGCCTGCTAGTGGTGGTTGGAGGGACCAGTCGCGCCTATGTACAGCAGTCTTGCACCCCAGAGCAGCTGGGGCTACAATAGCTCATCACCACCAGTGAATGTGTGTGAATGACTGGGTATTTGTAAAGCATCTTGGCGGGATAAAGAACTCTTAATAAATACATGTTATTTACCATTTGTCTCCGTCCAATACTCTCTGCTCACTGTGAAAGCAGCTAAAGAGAGACGTTGTTTTACAAGCTGAAGGTGACCAAGGCATTAAAAGTAACTGTGCTGACCTTGAAGGTGGGTTTACCACAAGGTGTCCATTTGATGTGGTCTCATTTAGTTATCTGTGACACATAGATACAAGACCTTCTGTTCCACTCAATTATCAAAAGGGCAGAACAATAGTTCAGTAACACGGAGATAAGTAACCTTATTTGGTGTCTCATTAAACTAAATAGCTCTTTTACTCGAGGTCGGAGTGGTCAGTGTGCCTCCAAAAAGCCACATTAGAGGTAGACTTAGCAGAATGAAAACTGTCTGCTAAAGCTAATAAGCAGTTTGGTTGTTCGCTGTCATGCTAAACCACAGAGAACAGTCAGATCGTTGCCAGGCAACAATACAAATAATCATGTATGCTAGTATTGCTTTGACAGAGGATGGTTTTGTCTTACAATCTGTTGATCAACCTTTTAACCCTCCAGCCTTTTCTTTAATTCTAATAACAGAAACTGAAAACCATGTTATAAAATTGATTGCTCGTCTTTTACGGTTGTTGTGTTTTCTTTGAGCAGGGAACTGAGCAGATTTCAGCAGAAATATGAGCCACATGTTTTCATTTGTCAGTTTTTTAAAGAGTGCATATCCATTAGCATGAGTGATTATTTATAGACATTCAGTTTGAAATGTGGTGGCATTGGACTCGATGCAGCTGCTTATTGAGGGGACCTGAGGGAGAGTTACCAACAGGGCTGTAAACATAGCTCATTCTTCACCTTTAAGGAGTGAGCTGAAACTGTGTCCCATTCCCACACTTACTTTAATGTTAGAGCCTCTGCTTAATAACTGTGCTAAGTCAGTTCAAAAGCATAAGAAAAAGGTTTTTGCTTCCAAAAGTCGTAAGCCCTGCTTGACATCTTATTATCTTTTTAGGTACTAAAAGTTGGATGAATGGCAAGTGAAAGTTGTTCTTGTTTAATCTTTTATCCTGTTTTCATCCTTCATTACTAGGACAACTGTACTAAAGGTGTTTTAAGTTACATTAATCATAGACCTACCCATCCATCCTTAGGACCATTTGGGTTGTGGTCTCTTGTGAGTTTAAAGACCTTTTTATGTAGATGGTTTCCTTTACTTACCTTAAAAGCTATTAGTATCATTGTACAAAATGTACATGTTACATTTAAATAAATAAATAAAAAATGAATGAATGAATAAGTGAATGAATAAATAAATAATCCAGTACTCTTTGCATCAGCTTGTCTTGAATAAATGAGAATCAACATTTATAGTTTGCTGGTAAAACCTATTTACAAAAAAATAAAGTTGAAGCATTTTTATGCGTACTTTTACCCTGTTTACCTCTGGATAGTCCTCATGAAGGCAAAGGCACAATCTTTATGACCTTCATGCTAAGCTGCCTCCTGGACAATTATATAAAAGTTTTAGTCTAGTTTTTGATTTAAAAAAAAAGCACGTCAATGACAAATATAAGTTTCCTAAAGCAGAAACTCCTTCTGTCTAGGGTTTTTAGATAATTCAATTGAAAATCTTTTTTTGTGAGAAAGAAGGAGAAATTTCCTGCCATTAAATCTCCCACCAGTAACCAACAGTGATTCCCGCTGTTTTGGTTGTGTTGCTTGTTAACTGTACGGAGGGAAAACGTAAGAATCTGTGCTGCTTGCCCAGTGAAACTCCCCAGCGTCAGGTGAAAGGAAGCAGCTTGTAGCTCTGTGTGAATCAGGTGAACCATGTGGTAGTCTGCACTATGCTAAAGCTATCATTTGGAGCTGGCACTGACAGGAAGTGAAGCACAGAGGGGAATTGGAGACAACTAAATTGATACTTGCCAGATTGGCTAGTTGCTAGGTAACATTGCTAACAGTTCCAGTCAGGTTTTCTTTAACCACAGACCATTTTGGGATCAGCACAGATTCATAAAATACTATTTTATGGCCGTAGACCAGAATCTGGTTCAAAAACATAAACATTGCATACCGAATAGTGTGCTGTACTGTTGGACCTATGTTCCATCTCTGACATGTGTAGTGAATGTAATAATGAAGTGCTCTGTGTTCTATTCACAGACTGGCAGAAAAGAAAAAGGTGACCCGCTGAACTCAGCCATCGACAAAATGACCAAGAAGACCAGGGACTTGCGTAGGCAGGTGAGTTCACGGTTCCTTAGCACCTTCTATTTCTTCCTATTGCTCACTAGAAGCATGTTTATACAGATACATGTTTAAAGGTTGGTACAATCCAGCTGTTCTGTAAGTGAACAAACCACTTCTTTACATTTCTATCCAGTAATTATCAAGTTTTTAAAACAATCAGAGCTTTTTCTTAGGCCCTGTCCACACGTAGCCGGGGATCTGCCAAAACGTAGATATTTTTCTACGTTTTGGCCTGTCATCCACACGAAAACAGAGTTTTTTCACACGAAAACGGATCTTTTTAAAAAGTCCGGCCAAAGTGAAGATCTGCGTTTTCTCCGTTTTGGGTGTCTGCGTGTGGACAGACAAAACCGGAGTTTTAAGGTCCGCAACGTCACTTTCCGCAACAAAAAAATGCTGACATCACGTGTGCGACCTGTGTTTACACTAGCCGAAGCATGGACGTCCTCAGAGCTGCGCTCGCTTTATCAATTGTCCAAGCGCTTTTTGCTTGTTTGTTTTTGCAAGCGGAATTACTGCTCCTTGCGGAAGACCACAGACGAAGGACGAGGTTAAGAACGGGGGAAGTACTGCCGCCTACAGGTCTGGCATGTCCTTAACAACGTATTCATCCGGGTACGTGTGGACAGAGTTTTGTTTTAAAATGAGGTGGTGTGGATGCAAGTTTTTGGAGGGGCGGATATTCGTTTTCAAAAAACCCGGCTATGTGTGGACTAGGCCTTAAACTCTCTTTTTTAAGGTTTTTTTTTCTTCCTGTTTTTAGATTAATTCCCATTTCACCTTTTTTTCCAGAATATTTGTATTAATACAATTTATTAGTTTTTTGGCCTTTAGTTAAACACGGTAGACCTAATAACCACGATATGTCGACAATAAAAATGAATCCTGCAATCAAAATTAGCTAAACTTTCAAATTTGAAAAGCTTTTAACGACTAGCAGGAAAGTGAGTGGTGCTGTAAAACATGATGTCAGAACTCTTGGATGTTGTTGCTGTGTTTCTTTTGCTTGCTGGAGATGAGCTTAAGCCCACTTTCCCCAGCTGGGTCTTGCAGAGAAGCAAAAGCGAAGCCTAAGGCTTAGCTGAAAAAATGAGAAGACCTTAGGAGCAAACTTGGTTATCTTTTGATCTTTCAGGCATGCCCTTTAAGGTACTTGTGTACATCCCATAATTTAAAAGTCAAAGTCTCATGAACGATATTGCACATCTGCTGGTAAAATAATAAAGAAAAGAACAATGAAGCAGTTTTATGATATAAATTGCAGTAGTTGTGTTTTAACTCCACGTGGAGGTTATGTTCTTTCTGACCTCTGAAGATCACAGATTCCTTCTTGATGGGAAACCATGACTCTCTCTCCCATTGGGGTATTTGTTGGGGGAGCTGTCTGACAGGCTGGCAGGCGGTAGTCACTCTGACAGGATGTTCTATTGACTCAGGGTTGGCTTGACAGAATAGAATAGAATAGAATAGAATAGAATAATCCTTTAATAGTCCCACAAGGGGAAATTTGGTTGTGTCAGCAGCAACATCACACATATACAAACAATGCAGGACACAGAACAGAAGCACAGTTATTACCTATTTACATCATGGACAATAGTTACCAGAGCAGAGTACAATACAGTTGTTTATATAGGCGCACACATAATGTGTAAGCATAGCAGGATACTGAAGATGTTAAAATAGTTTTAAAAGTTTAAGATGATTAAAAGAGTGCAGATTGTTTATTTTTTACCCATTCATTAAAAAGTAGACATGTATCCTTCAATAAATTATTGCATGTATAAGCTGAGAAAAAGTAATGTGTAAGTTATAATTGTAGAAGTTATTACAGCACTGATGCCGACAACTGTTTTGTTTGGGAGCAGTTCTGATTGTACAGTCTAACAGCTGCAGGGAGGAAGGACCTTCGGAAACGCTCCTTCATGCATCTAGGATGCAGCAGTCTGTCACTAAAGGAGCTCTGCAGTTCAGCAACATTTACATGCATGGGGTGGGAGACTCTGTCCATCAGAGATGTTATTTTGGCCAGAGACCTTCTGTCTCCCACCACCTGCACTGGGTCTAGGGTGCATCCTAGAACAGAGCTGGCCTTCCTGATGAGTTTATCCAACCTCTTCCTCTCAGCTGCCAATAAACTGCTGCTCCAACATACCACACTGTAAAAAATGACAGATGCTACCACAGAGTCATAGAAGCTCTTTAAAAGCGCTCCCTGTACCCCAAATGACCTCAGCCGCCTCAGCAGGTAGAGTCTGCTCTGACCCTTCCTATAAAGAGCATCCGTGTTGTGGCTCCAGTCCAGTTTATTATTCAGGTGAACACCCAGGTACCTATACGAGTCCACTATCTCAATGCCCACTCCCTGGATGTTCACCGGTGTCACTGTGGTGGGTCTGCGTCTCCTGAAATCCACCACCAACTCCTTGGTTTTCCCGGCGTTGATCAGCAGATGGTTCTGCTGACACCAGTCCACAAAGTCCAGAGTCCCCTGTCTGTACTCTGAGTCATCCTCACCTGTGATGAGGCCAACTATGGCAGAGTCGTCAGAGAACTTCTGTAGGTGGCAGCGTGGGGAACTGATGGAGAAGTCAGCAGTGTAGAGGGTGAAAAAGGAACGGTGCTAGCACAGTTCCCTGTGGGGCCCCCGTACTGCAGACCAGCGTGTCAGAGACACAGCCCTGTGACCTCACATACTGTGGTCGTTCTGTGAGGTAGTCCAGTATCCACTGAGACATGTGGTGGTCCACTCCCGATAGCTCCAACTTATCTTTCAGAAGTCGTGGTTGGATGGTGTTGAAAGCACTGGAGAAATCAAAAAACATGATCCTCACAGTGCTTCCAGGCTTCTCCAGGTGAGTCAGAGCTCGGTGCAGAAGGTAGATGATGGCGTCCTCCACCCCAATGCCAGGCTGGTAAGCAAACTGTAGTGGATCTAATGAAGACCTCACCAGGGGACGCAGATGGTTAAGAACCAACCTCTCGAGTGTCTTCATCAGATGCGATGTGAGGGCTACCGGCCTGTAGCTGCTGAGGTCCTTGGGATGGGAGGTCTTTGGTACCGGTACCACACAGGATGTCTTCCACAGCTGTGGTACTTTCCCAAGCGATAGGCTCAGGTTGAACAGGTAACCTAGTATGCCACACAGTTCATCTGCGCAGCACCTCAGGAGCCTGGAGCTGACGCCATCTGGGCCTGCAGCCTTATGCACCTTGATCTTGCGAAGCTCGTTCCTCACTTGAAATGCTGAGATGGAGAGAGTGGGTTTTGGGGGAGGGGTGTGTATAATGGAATCCACAGAAGCCGGGGGTGGGAGTAATGACTGGGAGCTGGGAGGTGTGAAGCCGAGAGGTGTGAATTCCTGAGGTGAAGGACAGGCAGTCCCTGAAGACAAAGGAGATTGCAGCAGGGGGGACGATGCTGTGGGAGGGGTGGGTGGTTGATCAAACCTATTAAAATATGGGCGGTATTAAAATATGGGCGGTATGTTTAAGCTTTTCATTTAAGATGGGAGGGCAAATTCGCAACGCACACGCAGACATTACATGGTGCTTTGATACTGCAATTATGTCAACAAACCAGGTGTTTGAGTTGAGCAAGTTGGTGGCAACGAGTGGAGATGCCAGCCCTTCCTGAGGGGAGGAGCGTCGCTGTACGTTTGAGAGTTCCCGTCTCTAGGATCTCCGTAGTGAGTAGGAGGCATCATGTAGCAGACGAGCACAAAATGACAGACGGCATTTGTGAAATGGGAGCAGGTAAGACCAGGCAAGCCTTGTGACAACACCGCCAGAGACATGCCGTGTTGTTTTCTCTTTCATGCCGATGTGTACACACATGAGACGGCGCTAAGCTGTCTGTTATCCAGGACAAATTCAGTATCTGTCAAGCATACTGTTCATTCACGCCTCCATTCTGTTTGCTTTGAAAGGGGTAAATCTTATGCTACTGCACCACGCCTGAGGGGAAAGATCCATGGCGGCATTGACATCACAAATATGTTTAGAGAGGTTTTTCTTTTTCCTTATTTCCATCATGACTTCCTATGAATGTTGCTTCCAGAGAATATGGTGTATGTCTGTAAATGCAAGTATTAACTTTTTTCCTGCATCCAACACTTATTACATCAACCTATGCTAAAAATATAACTCCTTATTATTTCACTAGTAAAGTAATCAAATCTGCATTATTTAAATTAGTTCAGATTTACACAATAGCAGGTTATTGCAATGCAAAATTGTGCATTTGGTCATAAAATCCTCCCAAAAGGAACAACAGCTACAACACAGACCTTCCAACCATGAAAGCATAAGATGCATCTATCAAGTTTTATAGCATAACAAGATTATTCTAAACCAAAAGCTTTCCTGTGAGTTTGTCTCTATAAGTCAGTGGCCCTTATGCCTCACCAGTGTTTTAACAGCAGGTGACCCTCTGCTTTCCTGCTGTACATCTGGTACTGGCAGCAGCAGAACTTGTTTCATGACCACCGTCTGGTCCTGGGTGAGGACACCAATCAAAAGAGTCATTTAAAATGGAACATAGATGCAGTGCAAAGAAAGAAAAAAGAACAATGTTTTCATAATGTATTTGAAATGTATATTTATATAACTTTTAGGAATAAAAGCAAGTGGCACAAGGAAAAACAAGAAGGAAGTCATGACAAAACAATAACATCTGAAAAAGTGGAAGTCATTTAAAAATGGATGAGAACAGCTGAAGTGTGAAAATACAATCACTGCTGTTCTCAACAGTGGCCTTCTCTCTGTTTATGCTTTTCCTAATCTCTCTCTCTCTCTCTCTCTCTCTCTCTCTCTCTCTCTCTCACACACACACACATACACACATGCATGAACGCACGCACACACTCATGCATGCACGCACACAAACACACACGCACACCGTCGCACACATATACATGCATGTATGCACCCACGCACGCACGTGCGCACACACACACACATATAAATGTACACACACATACATGCATGCACAC